TTTTTTGTTACGACTGTTAGTCCTTTATCGATTATCCATGGTACTTTGTGTCGTTTTCTCGGTCAATAAGTGAGTGTAAATAGTTTTTAGTCGCTCATCCTTTTACAACTATTTGTTGCTTATTTAACGAGAAATCGACATTCACAATACCCAGGAATAGCGACAATCGAGTAATAGTAGTTTATCTGCTGCTTGTCGATACTAGCAATAGGGGCGTTAATTTTTTATGTAATTATAGTTGTTGTAACCTTTTTAATCAAAACTTAACTCCCAAAAATTAAATTTAAAAAAATATTGTTTGGAATTGCTCGGAGTGGGTCATATAGCGTTTACAAAAAACTTAGAACCTTATTTTAACAAAATCGCGTTCTCATTTTAAAGTTTAATTCTGTTTTTGGCTTAGATGCATTTTAAGTTGACTATGAAAGAGTTAAAATGGTGATAACAATAAAAAACAATTTTAATCGTTAAAACCTTTTTCTAACTTCTCTATGACTACGGGCCTTCAATAGTCCAAAGTGAAAACAGGACCATAGCAACATGCTGGTTCATTGTTGGAATATGTAACACCATCTTACATTTAGTAAAACAAACACTTTATTGTACACAAGTCAGGATGGTAAAGACTTTTCTATTTATTTTAAATCAAAAAGTTAAAAAAATAACTATAAAGCATCTTACAAGAAGTAGGTTCTTGGTTTTCTGTATGAGAACAATTTCCTGTTGCCCTTGTGGTGTACTCTTTGCACCAATGGGAACTTGATTTTTGAATTGTGGAATTGTTTAACATGCACACGACGAGTGTTGCTGGCTTTGATGGAGTCAACCTTGATGATTTGAATAGAATGAGCACGAGCACGATGACGTGCACCCATATCGCGGTAACACGCCGTCACAGCACCGCCAACAGTCAGATCACGGTATTCACGGTACATATTGTGGGTACCGGAACGAGAATCATAACGCAACCAAATACCAAAATTCTTAATTTTAGTGGGGGAAGTTTCGTAGACCTGTTTCAGTGAGACAATTTCACCGGTGGTCTTCTTGAACTTCTTCAGTTGGCGCAAGAAATACCAGAAACGCGACTTGGCCACGATGTTATCCGGAGCAAAGATACGCATTTTGTAGAGTGGAGTTTGTGGCTCCTTCTCGGTTGGCAGCTTGCGGCCAATAACTTCGTATTCCTTCAACTGTAAAGAGAATCAAACAAAATACTCGCATTAGTTATGGAAATAAACAAACACAATCAATTAAATTGAGGTTAAACAAGACTTTCTGACAGCTGACTTCGGCATGCAAAGCAAAAGTGCACCAAGCGCCTTTCCTTATCATTACATTCAGAAAACAATACAACAACCCGTTGTCTTATGCTGACACCGCTAAAAAATTAGCATATTTTAGAGATCAAAATACAAAAAGTTCACGAAGTTTCGTGTCTTATAAGAACTAGCAGAATTGGCCACCCGCATAAGCACGTTGGAAGTCACCTTCACAAAACTGCATTTTTAAGCATTTGATTCTCACAAAAAGTTTACAATAATGTACAGCATGTTTAACTTTACTTCACCCAGTCTTATTTTAACAAATTTTTTAATTATTAAACGAATATTGGGCAAAATTTTGGGAAAAATTACCTGTCCCTTGGCTTTCATTTTAGCAGCGTTCAGAGAAAAGGAAGAGAAAACCGCCACCAACTTCAGGTCTGAAATTTAGAGTTGCAATCGTGGCGAGAAATTACAAGGTTGCATGTGTTCGCTAATTTTCCGTTCGCAAAATATGTTAGAATTTCTACATTTTTTTCAAAGCCCCTTTTTTACGATTGTATTTTTTAATTTTTCTGTTAAGTTTTTCCTAAAAAAAAATCGATAGAATAGAGCCTTAAATAGCGCATCTTACGCCAGTGCTACTAAAACTGTCGATTTGCCAACCGGTTTTGGACGAAAATGCACTCTGAGATCAAGGGCAACAGATGGCGCCTATGTAAGAATTTGTTTACATTCTTAAAACAGCTGTTTTACAATTATTTCTTGGAGTAGGACGTCTTTTACAATGGGAAAACGTGAAGGTATTTGTTTTAATTATAAAACTATATATCTGTACAATAATCTTTTCTATTTGACTATAAAGAGCATAAGCGAACGAAAAAACCAAGACATGTTGTCCACTCGCCGCACCCGACAAATACTACCACAGGGGCGGCTTCTCCAGCTGCGACACCTACTCCAGTACCTAAAGAAGATAGCGCTTATGATGCTGAAATAATCGATATAGTCGATGTTGTTGATCATGAGCAAGAAGTTTCCAGCACTCCAACTCCTACCACACCAGTCCTTACTCCACCTAAAGGTAGCAAAAGTAACTCCAGCGGCGGAAAAAAATCCACATCAAAACAACCTTCTACGCCCGCCGCAAGTAGTAATAGTTCACCAGCAGCGTCAGCAACACCAACCGCCAGCGGAAATTCAGCTAATAATAAAAAGTCAAAGAAACGACGCGATAGCAGCACATCCAGCGAGGAAGAACGTTGGTTAACTGCTATTGAATCAGGAAAATTGGAGGAAATAGATGACGAGCTAAAGAAAATGAAAGATCCCAAATTGATGACAGCGCGTCAACGAGCCATGTATGAGCGTAATACGGATAAAGAACCGTCGCCAGGTGGTGAATTGTTAATGTCACTACCAACTGGTTATCGTGAGAAAGAAAAACCACAAACGGCAGAGGATATACAAAAAGCGCAGCTCAAATCACAAAAGCGGAAACAACTTGCAGATGAAAAACGCGAGAAGGACAAGAAGAAGACAATGGATCGTTTGCTGAAAAAACAGGAAAGCAAGCAGCGCAATGCAACGCGTAACAAGTCGAGCAAAGTGTCACAGCCCGTGATCACATACCACAACACATTGGACGGTGCCTACATACAGCTGCCAACGGGTCATGAATTTCCGCTGGCAGCGCAAAAAGCGCGCTCGCCTCCCAAAGTGCAGATTTGTGGCATCACTGGTTGTGGCAAACCCAAAGTGTATAATTGCTCCAAAACAAATTTGCCGCTATGTAGCTTCGCTTGTTATCGCAAGAATGTGCAAAACATTAGACAAATAATGTGCTAATGCCGATGCAAATCATGGTTTAATTAAGAAACACTGTATTTTATATTTAGCAAATAACTTTGGTATTAATAATTGCATTAATAAATTTATGTAGTTTTTACTGATTCAACAAAAAATTATTTATAATTTCTTGCTGCTCAGATTCTATGCGTTGCAAGTATTGATATTCGTTACGAAGGCGTTCTAATTCCACGGTTTTCTCGTGAATTTTACTCTGAAATATGTGAATTTGATTTAATTAGTTTAAACTAAAAAAATCACTACGCAGACTGCTGCACCTGCTTCACTCACCTGGTATACCTGCTGCTCTGCCTGACGTTCTTTGGCGATTGTTTTGAGTAGATTTTGGGTGCCGATAGCTCTCAATTTCTCCTTTTCCACATCTTTAGCAAAATCACTAATGATTTTATGAAAATCATCTGCATATTTCTTAAAATCTTGTAATTTATTGGCATATTCCAAACACTCCTCGCGCAATTCGTTGGTTTCATTAGCAATAGCTGGATCTTGTACTCGCAGTCGATAGATGTCGTCAATGTAGAGGCCAGCTTTCTGCAGTTCTTCCGACATTTTATTTCGTTAATCAAATATTTTGCTACCGAAGATATGATGATAAAAAATATTTAATCAGCCCAAGGCATAATATAGCCGTACTATAAAGGTCAATTTACTTATGTTTGCTTCTTTAACAATTACCATGGCAACAAAACTATCGCATTTCCGGTTCATTATTTCTCACTTTACAGTGCTAGAGATGATAAGATAATTGTACGAGGATTCTTAATTTAATTGGAACGAAAGTGATAGCCACCAGAAAGTGCATAACCGTAACAACCCAACAAATTAAACACCCTACCCCCACCCCCTGTTGCTAAGTGTATTGTTTAATTAAAAGTTATTAGAGGAATGACGTCTTTATATTTCTGCTTTATTTGAAACACACAGAACTTACGAAGGTAGTATTTTATCGCATAGCATAACATTAATAAGTGAAGAAATATTTTTTTCGACTCGAGGCGATCCGCCAAATCGGCAACATCGTTTCTTGAATGCCATTTAGGAATATGATGTAGTCAAAAATTTCTAAACTGATGAATTTCCATTCCAACAGTATTCTCCAAAACCATCTATGCCAAACATACGATTGAAAAAATGGAAATAATTTAGTTTTTTTCAATTCTAACACCCAAATTTATAAAAAATTAGAAGAATTTTACGGCTTTATAAATCGAAAATTTGTATGAAAAGTCCACTTTATAGAACTCTTAAAATCTATTGTATTTTTTATGAATAAGGCCATAATTTTGTATATAAAAAATGATATAGTAAAAAGATTAAAATTCTTCCAAGTAATTATTGCTAAAATATTGCCTGTAGCAATAATAAAGCGCTAAGAAAACGACTAATTCAGGTAAAAAAAAAGCGTCTCGACCATGCGAGTTGCCTTTGACGGACCTATTGCAGCGACTGATAATAATAAATCGATGCGATGGTGAAATTAGCGGCAGTAAATTTGTTGCCGAGGGCGACACTTTTTCTTACTCCTGGCAACAAAAATTGCCTAGTGGGAATGTTAATAACTAGCTTGATATAACTTTAGCTTTTGGAAATTCAATTAATATTCACACTTTCCACAATACACACATCCCTTTAATCTTAAAATAAACATGTCTAACGTTTCGATTCGTCACATGCAGCATTTATTATATTGTTAAGTCTTCTATGAGAAAGTTTTTCAGTTTCCTTAACTCTTGTTTTCCTCCGTGGTAGTCTTTAATGCTTTTTGCTTATTATGCCTTTGAAATTTTGGTTTTTTAACACCCGAGTGCTTTCATATTTATTTGTTGACGTATTTTACAGTCCACATAATAGAGTATAAAAGTGCTTTACTATTAGAGCTTATTCTTTTTGCACACACAATTAAATAAATAAATCAAGTTGCAAACTAAGAACTGATTATAGAATGTTTGATTAAGCATTTAATACTATAGCGTGCACAATTGTTAGGCAGCATATCCAACATACAATATTTAAAAGTGTTTTTATATGATGAGAAAACTGATTGAAAAGTGAGTTATAAAAAAATATATTTACGTATACATACTATAAGCCAAACAAGATAAGCATATAGTGTTTGGTCACTTCAAGAATATGTATCTATGTATGTAATGCACTCACATTGAATGTGCATTTCTTTATTTTTTTTTGTTTGTTTTTGATCACCAGATTTTTTTCTTATCGAGAACATTTCCTTTACCCTTGTAATAGCGTTAGGATATATAAAAATATCCTTACAACAATATTTTTCTTTGGCGATTCATACACTACCGCCGCTAACATCTCTCCAAAGCTAGGGAAGCGCTGCTCGTTGTCATCCCACATATTGCTTCATAAATCATGTAGGATTGTTACGTTTGTTCGAACGTAAGCGCGCCAAGCTGGTGCGTTCCTCTTCCTCATCGCTGGTGTACTGCTGCATGCCGGGTGCAGCAACGGCACCACGCACCGACGATGTAGCTTGTAATAACTCCTGATCAGGAGCATTGCGATTTTCATACAAAAGTACTTGCAGTGTCTCCTCATATATGCGCGCCTCTGGAAATTCCACTTTTGTGTGTTTGCGATCTGTGGCGTACACGATAGAGGTGCAGCACACTTCTGCTACTTTTTTGCCATGACCGTAAAATGACCAGCAACATATTTCACTAGGTCCAATAACATCCTTGATGAAAAGTATTCGTTCATTGAAACGTAAAGATAATTTGTCAAAAAGCTCGATATTCTTAAGCAAATTATCATCTGATGTGCTAGTGTATGAATACTTGTTGTTTTGTCGTTGAACCACCAATATTACAGCAGGTTTCGACGACGAACTTATTAGTAGCTGTTCTTCTTTTTGAGATGTAATCAACGGTATGCGGCATATGGGTTTTGGTTCTTGATGTGCTAACAGTGCTCGCTCGCATGACATGGCCAATTCGGTGATACAATAATATTTAGCTTCTGCAAGCAATTCTGCTATTTCCTTGTGAGATTCTGGCAGTGGAACGGTTCCATCACGCAAGTAGTTCAGTATTGTACCGAAATGATTGCCGCATCGATCGATTAGAATCCAGCCTGTAATTTATAAATATTCAACATTTTATTAAAGATAACAATTATGCAAAGTATTCCTATTAAACAGGGCGTGACTAATCAGTTTAAGCATAAAAAAAACAAAGCGACACGATGCATCATCACTTATGCTTTAGGCTTTAACATTTTTTCTCTCCGAATTACTAGCTACTTTTTTGAACTTACCCTCTGAATCAGTGAGCACTTCCATGCGGCCGCTGAACATAGCACTTAGCATAGTATCGTGTTTCGTCAGCGTTCCGATTGTAGTGTAATACAATCTCCCACCTACATTCAATTTCACATACTGTGATGAGTGTCCTTTGAGAAGAGTTTTCTGATCGCCAGACATTTTACTTGTAGCCACTAGTCCAGGTCCAGGAATCAAATGCACTTTGCCAACAGCACCACTACCACTTGGGACTAGACTAACGCCACTGGAGCCTTTGCAAACGCTATCTTTGGCGTTGCAGTTGCTCGACGTTACGATTGCTACGGAATCAATTTTGACGATTGTGTAAACCAGAGAGATAGGCGTAAATAGATATCAGCGCCCTTGTATGCCGTCCACACTTCTCCCTGGAACCTAGATGGGCGTAGAGTTTAAAATGTAGGATTTTTTAATTTTACAGCACTTCAAACTACACTCTTCCTCAGTCCTAACAAGCGGGACGTTTTATTGACCCCTAGGAAAGTCAATCCAACCTATTATCCTCGTTAGAATATGGAAATTAAAACAATTATCTACGAGGTGCAGAAAACATCAGAAATGCACCAAGTTGATAAATTTTTGTGTAAAGAGTTACCAGATGTCTGAGAATAACTACTCGGGATTTCGCCCAAATGTTTGGGGTAATTCCGGAGGAAGTTAAAGACCGGGTTATAATGGAAGTAACGGAACGGGATGAGCTGTGACAATGAATGCAAATGGTTATAGTGCACGTAATCGCAACCTACAAAGGAAGCATATACAATCAATGGCGCGTATTCATAGTGCAGCTACCACAGTATATACAATAATACCCCTTTTTGAGTACTCCTCGGGGGTAAAATCTGATCAGGGTTGATAATGAGAAGGAGCATGAATTTTGCCGATTCAGAGTTGCATACAAATTTACTGTGGTATGAAAGGGAGCAACAATCGTACTATGTCAGCGTGGCACAGGTAATTTTGTAAACACTTTTCTTATAATTATAAGAGATAATTGCTATTTATTTTGCAATATTCCGATATCCAGTGTGTAGCCAGAGGCAGTGGCATGAGAGCCTCACTAAAATCTACTCATCATGTTGGAGCAGCTCCGGGTAAAAGACCATTGAATGTGCTGGCTGAACTTATGACCACCTTAACCTTCGGGAGTCTCCAAGCAAATGCGTGTCCTGAGTTTATACGGTAGCCATTCATAGCAATTACTATTGTATGTGTGTATAATTCATATTGGTGACATTCTATAAGCCCAAAATACAGTAACGCAGTGGCAGCGGCAGCGGCAGTTTTTCGAAATCAGCTGTTTTTTAGAAAGTGTGGTGTCCAATGAAGCGACTCACAATACAGCAGTGGCAGCTAGCAGTACTGCTCAGTTTAGCCCAAATTCTAAATTCACTGCCACTGCCTTCATCGCAGCAAACTTCGCATGCTGAATTTGACATAAATGAAACGCAGCCAACATCTGTTGATGTCACTGAAGCCTAAAAGGCAACAACAAAAATGTAAACAAACAAAAGGGAATGTCAAAAAAAGCAGTCACTGACAACGGAGTATTGTGTTTGCTGCGGCATTGACTGCCAATATTAGCAGTAACAGCTGATTTTAAAAACTGTCACTGCCACTGCCACTGCGCTATTGTGTTTTGGCCTATACTTTGATCCTGAGTATTTTTGAGGAGCTCCGGGTAATGGTCGCTCAAACTTGGGTGCGCTTAATGAGCTCTCTGGGCAGATGCGCTAGCAGGCTTTGGAGTCTCCATAACTGTACAAACCTTTTTTTTTGTATTGGAATAAAGACTTAAATATATTCGGAAATTTAGAATTTTCTTTGATAAATTCATGTTTTTATAAAAATATATTCTTACAATGGATATTTTATTGATTTTAAACTTACATTTATGAAAACTCCATTCAGTGCTATAATTACGATTTGAGTTTCCAGTTTAAAGAAATACAAGCAATAATTATGTACTTTACTATTGATATTATTCCTAATTAAGCAATGATATTATATTTACCCTACATTTTGTTCATAAATAACACAACTATATATATTTTATCCTCGAAAAGAACTTTTTCTAATAATGAGGCGAAATTCACCACAGTAAGTGTTGCCGTGCGCGCAAAACGAAAACGCTGCACACAACCCAAAAGTACTCCTCGGGGACCAATTGGTGAAAAACTGCGAAAAGGTTTATTACTGTATATACTGTGGCAGCTACTTATTCGAAAATAATAAAGTTGCAACTTAAATGTAAGTAGCAACTTCAGAGCGAAATACACCACACGAGCGGCTTGTCAAACATAATTCAAACCCATGATTCAATAATTAAAAGTTAGACAATTATTGACAGCCGCGGTTTGACAGTCCCTTACAAAAGGTTGCATTTACGAAGGAAAGAGAAGGGGGAAGAATGAAATCCCTTGAAGTAGGAAAGTACGAAATATATACACTTACAGGTCTATTCTGCACGTTACCGAAGATTTTGTAACCGGAAAATTGTAT